TCATTCATCCAGGCCGCCCATGTCGCATGACAAAGATTATCGAAAATACATACAATAATGCATATCTCTACTGAAAATAGATCCCGATTACGACTCGAGACATGTGCTTCCGAAAATTTGAGGTAGGATAATTTAATATGAATCACATAATACTTATTAATATTACACAATTTTTATTAATATTTTTAAGATTTGTGGCAGGCATATGTTGGGTGACATGTTCATCACAGCCCACAAGGAGAAGCGGCCTGTCTGGGTGGGAGAACAGGTCTGGCTCAGTTGACCAGAGCTTGGGCCTCTCTTGATAAACAAAGAAATAGACAAACGAACCAGCAGAACAGGAGAACCGGGTGGGTCAGGGGTGTTGTATTTTATATTGGAGATTCGGTCTCCCACACGGAGCACTACTGGAAACCGGTAAGATTCTCTAAATATTCAAAAATTCAATGGTTGATGTAATTATGTGGTATTTACCATTTTCTCAGCAATACATGCTCAGAAGCTTGATCGGCCACCCACCACTGCAGTTGCATGTCCGGACACATTGATGTTGTAAACGCAACAGAGGTCTCTGACCTCTCTCGAGGGGTCAATGTAAATAAGAAAATTGATTATATATATATTTTTACTATTAATGTTAAAAATGATAATTAATCCTTGATTTTAATTATACAGTGGGAGTACGAGCAGCTCTGAGAGAAGCAGGAGTTGGAGAGTCGGGCCTCAACAACCAACAGCAGTACTGGGAGCCAGTTTACCACTACGCAGTCTGATTTTGAGTTATGAAGGTGGCACGGAGGACGTAGCATTTTAGGCCGAGCACTCTTATGCTCCTATGGGTGACTCTAGCTATATACTGTTGGAGCATGGAACTTTGTCAAGCGGGTCACTGCAATGAATGAAAAGATCCATCACATGTGTGATAAGATGTGTGAAGGCCATCAGAGAGTTGAGGAGACTTTAACATACCTGACGGAGAATATTGCAGATTGTCAAAGTAAGCGGCCTATGAGTTCAGTGGATGAGGAGGGAGAGAAGAATGATTGTGACTTTGATGATGTTCCCCGCCATAGGGGTTTATGTATTTTCTACCTTTTTGATAATGTGAACATTTATTCTGTGTAAATATAAACTTTCATGTATATAGATTCATATTTGTTAAATTATGTTTGTTAGCATTTTAATTACTTGTTAGTGATATAGCTTCTAAGTTGTGATAGTAGTTGTTTGTGGTAAAGATTCGTTTTGAGCAGGTTGAGAAAATGTGATAGTTTTGTTTATATATTTTTTAAATTTATTGCAGGTTTGAAACGGATTTGTGTCGGCAATTCCGAAGCTATTTTTCGATGTTATTTGATACATTCTGATGCTAATATAACATCTCCAGCTATAGAATATCTTCGACAAACTAAGTCAACACAAATAAGCACGCTAATTTGCATTACTACAATTCAACACAAATGTTGGCATTAGATGTTGCGTCGGAGTGAACTGCATTCAATTTCATTAACATCAACAGGAACAAACACTACGGACCTCACTAAGGACCTGTTGGGATTATTTTTTGTTTTCTATTTTTTATTTTTAAAAACAAAAATAGAGAACAAATTGAAAAATATTGTTTGTTTGTCCGTTATTTCACCTGTCTTTTAAATTTATTTTTAAACACAAATCCATTATTTTCAGAACTAGTAAACATTTGAAACGTGTTTTCTGTGTTTTCAAAAAAGCCAAAGCATGCTAAGCCTTAATAATTATAAACTTAGTAATTATTCAATTTTAATTTAATTTAATTAATTAACTTAAGAATTAGAAAATTTAATTAACTAAATAAATTAAATTTTTAAATTTTAATAAATTACCTTAAAAATTATATATTTTAATTAATTTGCTTAATAATTATATAATTAAATTTAATTAATTATTTTGATTAATTAATGTAATTAAATTAATAATTATAAACTTATTAATTATTTAATTACAATTAATAATTATAAATTAAATTAATTAAATTTAATTAATTAATTAATAATTTTTAATCAATTAAACCCATAATAATTCAAATAAAATATTAATCATTTAATTAATTAATTTAATAATTATAATTTAATTAATTAACTTAAAAATAATATACTTATTAACTATTTAATTTTTAATTAGTAGTTATGAAATTTAATTAATTAACTTAATAATTATAAAATTTAATTAATTATCTTAATAATATCAAATTTAATTAATTAATAATTTAATTAATTAATTTAATTAACTTTTTAAATTATTTAATTTCAATTAATAATTATAAAATTAAATTTATTAACTTAAAATTATAAAATTTAATCAATTAATAATTTAATTAATAAACTTATTAATAATTTAATATCAATTAATGATTTAATTAATTAACTTCATAATTATAAAATTTTAATAATAAATCTATTTAATTTTTTAAAAAGTCTATTTTTTTCTTTAAAAACAATAGAAAATACTCAATAAACATGTTTTATATTTTTTATTTTTAAAAGCATATAAATCAAAATAGCACCAAACTTATTTTCTAAAAATAGAAAATAGAAAACAAAACAAAATAAATAGAATGAAAACAAAAATAAAAACAAAAAACAAAAAGTAATCCCAAACAAGGCCTAAGCGATGCAAGTTGTTTGTATCGAACATTTTTAAAGGTAATTGCATTACTGACCCTAATTTTTGCGTAAACCTCTAAACAATGCAAATCCGACGTAAATCATATTTAGCGGTGGAATCTCCTCATATTAGCATCCGATTTGTCCAACAGTATTTTGCCTAAATTCTGTAGCGTGAATACATAGATTGTAATTTTAGTAATAGTAAATCTAGTGACAAAGTTGTAACTATGGGGGATCAAATCATTAAAATGTGAGATCATTTTAGATATCTCGGGTCTATTGTTCAAAGTGATGTTGATATGGATGGAAATGTTATTGGTAAAATTCAAGTTGGTTGGTTGAAGTAGAGGAATGCATCGGACCTATTATGTGATAGAAAAGTACCGCTTAGACTTAAAGGAAAATTTTATAAGATAGTGGCGAGATTTACGATGTTTTATGTGCGAAATGTTGGCCTTTAAAAAAGAAGCATAAAACAAGAGCTGAGATGAGAATGCTTTGGTGGATGAGTGGCTTGACACTTATAGACAATGTAAAACGAATGTACCCGTGAAAGGGTTGGATTAGCTTCGGTGGCAGTCAAGATTAGAGAGAGTCGTCTTAGATTGTTTGGACACATTAAACATTGGCTATCTGTTGATCCGGTTAAGAGAATAGATGTTTAAGATTTGCTTATGTTACGAAAGACAAAGATGGATCTAAAAACACTTGGGCATATTATATAAAAATTGAACTTAATTTATTATAATTAAATGAAAATATGACACTCAATAGAACAGTTTAGGTGGATGAGTGGCTTGACACTCGACTTGAAGCTTAGCGATTAAATGTGAAACGAATGTATCTGTTAAAGGGTTGGATTAGCTTCGGTGGCAGTCAAGATTAGAGAGAATCGTCTTAAATTATTTGGCCACATTAAACATTGGCTATCTGTTGATCCGGTTAAGAGAATAGATGTTTTAGACTTGACTTATGTTAAGAAAAGCAGAGATGGATCTAACAACACTTGGGCATATTGTATAAAAATTGATCTTAATTTATTATAATTAAATGAAAATATGACACTCAATAGAACACAATGGAAAAAAGTATTCATGTAGCCGACCCCACTTAGTTGGGAAAAAGACTTGTTGTTATTGTACTCATATGTATTCACCAAGCTTCAAACTAGACATTTCAAATAATTTTCTTTTTTCATAGTATGAAGGATTCTTCATCCTTAGTCATTATGTATCTTTACTTTAGTATGCAACAAATCTAATAAGAAAAGTGAAATAATTTTCTTCCAATACAGAAATTTGAACACCCATACTTAAAGGCAGAGAATCATGATTTGTCGAAAGGCTGAATGGAATGTGTAATAGCCATAGAAATATTAACATGTCAATACCTTTATTTTTCACATATCAATACCTTTTCTTTTTCACATATCAATACCTTAAAACATAAGATATTTCACATATATTTGACTATGTTAACATTCGTGGAAACAAAAGACAATTATTCCTAGGGGTTGTTTGGCGGTGCATTTTAATTAGATTTATCATCATACTTGCTAATCCAAGTGAATGATAAAATGCAGGAGTTCCCTGAATTTATAAATATTTGAATTTAAGGTCCCAAATTTTGCTTAGATTTGGATTTACTAAATCCAGGGGTATGGTGGATTTAACAGATTTACAAATTTACTAAATCTTACTTGTGGCCAAACCCCTGGTCACAATAGAGCATAATCATAGAAGATATTATGAAATCTTTATGCACACAAGTTCATAAGCAATATTCAACATTAATCTTAAAGCTGAACCATTACAGCTGGAAAAATAAGTTAGCAGGAGCACAATGCGCTATCTGGCATCCAATTTTAGGGTTTAACCCTACATAACAGAATTTTAGAGACGTTAAATTGTACTGGTTGGATAAATCTAACCTCATCCACATTATTCATTAAATCCAAAATTCATTAAATCCTAGCATTCACAATATCTGATTGACTAAAAATTTTATCCCTCTCATAAATCTTAAATCCATAAATCAATAATTCATAGATGTTTAACAAAACTTTGCAGTTCTGACGTCAGATAGTGATCACATTTTAGTCCTCTCAAGTTGTACTACGTCTGAATTTCTGAATATTTAAGATTTACAAAATACTACTTGAGTTAAATTTTCTTTGTGGTACCATCTAATTCAAACAAAAAGAAAAACCCCCGGAAAATCTATGCGCGTTTTAAACAGGACATCATCACGCCTAAGTATCCAAACCCTAACTTCATGATTTCCTTCTATCTCGACGGATGAAGCCAAAGGAATCGGATTCTGATCAATAATAGAATTGAGAGGGTAGAAATTAACCTTCCCTTCGGCTGATGCGAACTCGATGGCGGGAGGCGACGGGAGAATCCTGCGGTAGAGACCAGCTACGGCCATTTCTCCACCTTCCTTGAATTCTTTCGCTTGGCATCCAGTACACTCCTCCCGATAGTTGAAAAGCTTCTATTTTAGCCTTTTAGCTAGAGGCCGCAATGTTAATATTTAAATTGTAATAAAATAAAATCGAAAGTGACAGTTTAAATTAATTTGAATTTCTCAAGCATTTCTATTGGGTGATTATTTTTATTTATATAATAAAGTCATGCATTAAAAGTTGTGCTTCACGTTTAGTTGTTTGGCTGGATTTATCCCCCATGAATGGAAAAATTATTCCATACGGATCGGACACCGCAAGATGCGTGCGGTATCTGATCATGACCATAAATCAGGTAATTTACGGTCATGATGTATTGTGGGTCTCACCTAAAATTTTTTTTTAAAAAAAAACCTGAAATAATCTTGGTCGTAGATCACCGTGATTTACGATCAGGATCGGAGACCGCATGCAGAGATGCATGCGGTGTTCGTATACAATCATTTCTCTCATGAATGAAAGGAAGCTAAAATTCAGATCTCAAATTTAAAATTTCATAAATTCATAAAAATTTTATTTTAATATGTTTGACTAATTTAATAAATTCGATGTGTTAATAGTGCACTACCAAACAACCCTTTAAAAAATTGAGTGAGCATTATTTTTTATGTAATGTTGAGATTTTATTGTTATGAATGTAATATGTAAATACATATGAATTTTGTGAAATGTATGTTAATGCCCCTGTTTTATTTTATTGTCTATCAATAAATTGATTTAAAATAAGTATTAGTTGATGCCATTTCAATCATTTAATATATTATTTTTATAAAATGTTAAATAAATTAACTTATGGAGGTGATTTTAATAATTATTAGCAATGCAAAGGCACAGAGTAATATGAGTTGCTAGATGGCAGCCATAAGTGGCGAGCTTCAATAATCGATAGTGGTAATGGCGGCCAATAAAAGTGACTAGCATTAATGATAGATGATGGTCCTAAGATGGCGACTAATAGTGATTGGAAGATGTTATGTAGCACAACTAATGATAGCCCGAGGTGGCGGCTAATAATGGCCAATAGGCAATGACATTACCAATGCGTAAATAACTATTTTTGAACTACTTAATTTAAGTATTTCAAAATAGAAATTAAATTTATTTTTAAAATAAAATTATATCATTCAAACTTGTACACACAAACAGATTATATATATATATATATATATATATATATATATATAACACTAAATAAAAAAGTTTTTAAATACATAATAAAAAATTAAAATAAATTCAAATAAATCCTAATTGCCAAGGACTTGTTACTCTTTGGTTAATGGAGATAATTATATCTAAAACTTCAAAGGTAGAGTTATATATTTAATTATTTATGGCTTATTGATCAAATAATTTGTGTATTTTCTTATAAAACGTTTATATTTATTTATCCAATTAATGATAAACAAATTCATTAAACATTACAAACTAATTGGTTTTTCACATAAAAATATTTTCACCCTAGAATTAAATCTCTAGATATTGTGTGAAATAAAAAAAAGCAAATGACAAAGTGCTATAGAAAGAATTTGTCGAGCGTCGAATAAATGAGAGGAATAGAAAGAGAGAGAAAGAAATAGAGTATAGTGCACAATAACACTAGTTCTCAAAGAGTAAATTCAATAGTCCTTTCTTGAAAATCATAGGGGCATATAGTGAAGTTACAAGTTTATTCTTGTTTTAAAATGAATGTTACAAGTACTTATTATGTCTTTTCATATTTGTAATTGATTTTGAGACCCTTTAATATTTTTAACTGACATTAATACCATTTTGTATTCATATTTGATTAAAGAGGGGCATTTAATGGCTTGTTGATATTGTCATTCAGTCAGCTGAAAAGTTTTCGGTCAGCTGGAAAGTCTTTGATTGATAGGAAGCTCTTCAGTTGGCTCAAAGGTTTTTGGTCAAATTTCTCAAGAGAATCCTTAATAGTGGTTCTATTGTCATTAGTGTGAACTTAGACCATCAAATAAAGAGTATATTGATACACCAAAATAATGTGCTAGTTTAAGTATACATTTTATGATTATTTTCTATGATATTGCACTTTAAAGAAGAACATTTTCAAGTTTTTGTTGCAGATATATCAATTATAGGCATTTGGAGCAAAATTAGCGAAAAGAACGAAATTTGAAGTCAAAATAGCGAATTTTGTGAACCTGGTGCCTTAAGCGCCAGATTGGCATCTAAAGTGCCACATTACAAAGAGTTGACACCTGAAGCATCAGACTTGGCGCCTGAAGCGTCATTTTACAGAAAGTGGCGCCTAAAGCGCCAAAACCCAAAACAACGCAAACTTAAGCAACTTGGCGCCTGAAGTGCCATAATCAGTGCCTGAGGCGCAGAGACGACTTTTTATGAATTCAGGTGGTTCAAGATAAATTTTGCGGAATTTTGAAGGGTACACATGTTCTAAACGCCTCATGGAGTGATTTAATGCATCTATACACTTTGGAAGGTTCTTTATGAAGGGATATGTCTCATGAATCAATAGACATGTCTTTTTAAATTCAAAAGGTTTGAATTTTGGATAGAATTTTGGAGGGAATTTTAAATTCTTTTTGAGAGGAGCCAGCCTCTAATAAAAGAGATGGAGGTCTATGGCTAAAAGAGGAGGCATAAGAGAATTTTGAAAGAGGGCTTGGCGAGAGAGAGAGAGAGAATTAGAGAGAAAGTCAAGGACTTGGAGATTTTCTTCAAAGGTTGTGAGAGGAGAGGGAAAGTGAGAGATTTCTTCTTCATTACATTTCCAAGAGAGAATTGTGAGTGCTTGTAAAGAAGAAAAGTGCTTGAAGAGAACTTCTAGGGATTTTCCTGGGAAGGGTTGTGAGATAAGTTGTGTCTTTTACTTCTTTGTTTCGTAAACTTATTTTTATATATGAAATTTATGTTTTTTCATATCCTTCTCATGAATTCTGAATAGTCTTCTTTATTCTTCTCCCTACAATGAGATTTGATTTTGTGAAGAATTGATTTTGTTTTATATAGTTATAAGTATCAATATTTTGTGATGATTTGAACTTCGATCTTCATTTACTTTTTGATCTGACCAATTTAAATGTTAAAATGTGTTAAGAAACATATGATCCGAAAGGGCTATGATTTCTACAACATGGTGAGAGTCACATTCAATTCCATGGGAGAGGATGTCATCCATGAGGTTGAGTGCAAATAAATAGGTAAATATACATTGTTGAATGCAGAATTGGAGATTTTAAGGTGACAGATTAAAATATCCAATTTGGTCCAGATTGAAAACTAATGCGAGATTGTAAGCCCTCAAGCGTTAAGGCCCAAAAGAGGGGGGGTGGGGGGAGCTCGGGAGTGGTAGCCAGTATCCTCCCAGTCTAACCACGAATTAGAGACTAAACTATGGATTAATCAAAATTTTTTATATACTTGAAAGAGGGTAAATAATATGATTTCTCCTATTTGGCACAATACAAATATATTTATATACATTTTAAAAGTGATTTTAATTTTTTCATAATCCATATACTCATTGTAAAGGGGAAGGATATTTTCTTAAATTTGAACTCTTCGTCTCAGAAACTTTATTTAGATTTCATAAGTTTACTTTTGAAGTTTAGCAATTAGTTTAATTAACTTAATTCTTTTAATTGCATTTTAGCACACACTCAATTATGTTAAGTTTAAATTTCGTACTTCAATTTTGTAGTTTAAATTGTGTTTTACATTATAATCATAAAAAATTATTCATAAGCATTTCCAACTTCCCTATGGGATCGATATCTAGGACTCAATTACAGCTCTTTATTACTTGAGCGATATGTATACTTCCTTTATTATTACGGGTTTGCCACTTTAAGGATTTTAAAAGATAAAATTATTTTTACTAAAGTCATTTTTATTTGGATTTGAATTGCATATTTATTATTAGCATTGTCGAGTGTGTGTTTTGTAGTATTGAAAAATATTTATAAAAATAACACACAAAGCGTGCATCAAGTTTTTGGCATCGTTGTCGGGGAAGTAACGGAAATTAATGGTAAATTATTTTATAATTTAAAATATTTTACGTAAACTAAAAAATAATAAATAATATAGTTGTTTGTAGTTTAATTTGAACAATTTCATATTTTAGTGCGTTTGCATATTTTAAATGCTTATTGTGTTTGTTTATGCATAGTTTAAGATCTGAAGATTTAGTTCCTTACAATTCAGAGTTAGAAAGAACCATTAGAAAAATTCAAAAATAACAAAAAAGATAGATAATTCTAGCAGAATGGCTTACAACTCAAGTAATTCTGGAAATGAACATCATCAAATACCTTTAAGAGATTATGCTAATCCTACTACATATGAAATTCATTTGAGTATACAAAATCTTTCTGTAGAAACCAATTCATTTGAGCTTAAGGCTATTATTATCCAAATGGTACAAAACAATCAGTTTGGGGGAATACCAACTGAAAATCCTCACTTACACCTTGCTAGTTTTCTAGAATTGTGTGGTACATTTAAATATGGAGTGTCGAATGATGTCGTCAGACTTAGACTTTTTTCCTTTTTCACTAAGTGATAATGCTAAGATGTGTTTAAACTCGTTAGCACCTGACTCTATCAGAACTTGAGAAGACTTATCACAAAAAGTTTTATCTAAATATGTCCCACCTTTAAAACCTGTTAAGCTTAGAAATGATATTACATCTTTTTGTCAGTTTGAAGGGTAATCAATTTATGAAGCTTGGGAAAGATTTACTGATCTCCTTAGGAAGTGTCCACACCATGCATTGACAGATTGGTTAATAATTCAAACTTTTTATATAGATTGGTTGGATCTCTTAGATCAATATATGATGATGTTGCTGGTGGATCATTAAAGTCAAAATCATTTGATGAAACGTATTCTTTAATTGAAGAGATGAGTACTAATACTTTCAATGACCCTTTAAAAGGTAAATCTAAAAAGAGTTGCTAGTATTCATGATTCTGATGCAATATCTATATTGGCTGCCCAAATATCTGTTATATTGAAGAATAGATCAATATGGAATGAACCC